GGAAACAGAATCATTACCTCAGACATAAATGTTACATTGTTCCCAAAATATTACAAATGTTTTGCCTGTTAACGTCAAATGAAAAATCTCAGTCATACAATTCATGCTAATTGTCCTCAAAATATCATTTACAATTGCATGTATTGTATCTTAGGCAAAGTTCATTTTGGTTAAACGGCAACTCAATATATTTTTCTCACAAGAATACCTAATTGCATTTGTGCATTTTGCTGCCTGCGTTTAAAGTAGAAATCAACCCGTGCACAGGTGCACAGGTTGGAGTGTTACATCCCAGGATCACGAGCGGTGGTGGCAGCTGGTCGAAGCCTTCATCCAGCAGCGGAGTGACTAAGGCGGACGACGATGTTCAAAGCTGAGCACGAGAACATTATAATTACTGATTTTGGAGCTTTCGTGACTGCAGGAATTATTCTTTGGTTCTTTCGGTAAAGTCACGTATAAAGATAAAATAATAAATTAAATAATAGCATACGACGTTTCGATTGCAACACAAGCAATCATCATCAGGTATAAATGAAATAGCAACAAAAAAATCTAACCATAAAACTATAGACAGACATATGAGCAGACAGATATCACCAAGATACATAGAGAAAGTAACACAGGTACTGTACAGAGAGGGAGGCCACCCCACAGAGACGATCTCCCTCTCTGTACCTGTGTTACTCTCTCTATGTATATTGGTGATATCTGTCTGCTTATATGTCTGTCTATAGTTTTCTGGTTAGATTTTTTGTTGCTATTTCATTTATACCTGATGATGATTGATTGTGTTGCAATCGAAACGTCGTATGCTATTATTTAATTTATTATTTTATTTTTATACGTGACTTTACCGAAAGAACCAAAGAATTATAATTACTGATTACTGCTATGCTATGTCTCGAGAACATTCGACTCCGACCTGTGCATCCACCACTTATTCCCTCGGCAACATCCATGCCTTCATCGGCTCTCGCCTTCATCACTGCTGCATCTCACTCCTCCACGGTCTACCATGTCTACCTACAAACTCCAAATGACCCATTACATCTTACACCTGTAAATTACATTTAGTCCCGCATCTCCGATCAACACGGTCGGCTACGTACGGTGCGAAAGAAGTTCTGCATACATACACATCACACCAATCCCTCGTACGACTCCACTGGTTCCAAATCCAGTGTCACATCATACTTCGTAGGGTATTCGTGGTTGAGCTGTATAACCCTCCGATGTGCTTTCATGTTGTACCATGTGCTTCGCGGCATGAGGTCCAACTGCTAGCTCCATGTGTTTTGAGCTTCTTCAGGAACTGATACATTTCCTTTAGTTAAAGTCCTCATGCATGGAGGCATGAAGAATCATAAACTGAATTCAGTTCCTTCACAAGCTCTCAAGTACACGGAGCATCGGGCGTCTTGCCGAACAGCACGCGGATCAACCAGAACACACTGCAGAGCTGCCAGGATCACATCAAACACAAGATCGCCCAAATGTCTTCCAAATGTCTTCCGCTTTGGGATCACACCCCACCTACGTACGCCCTCTCATCTCATCCCACTCCTGGCTATGTCCCCTCTGCTCCAGTAAAACAACACCTCCTGTCAATGCCCCCCCCCCCCCCCCCAGTAAACCTCCATGAAACGGGGGAGGAGGGGGGTCAATGATTCTCCATTTCTGACCTCCTCTGTCTCTAACACCCTTCCACTGGTATTAGGCATTGCTGACTATTCCTCTATATAAGTCTCGGCCTCAGGCAGTATTCTTCACCAATTTTTAGAGGGGGGGGGGGGGGGACTTTCGCCGATAAGATAACAGTGTTGAGGGCCGCCACACTTGTGAAACCATTGGGGTGATGATGATGATGGGGGTGGTGGTGTTTTCACTCGTTGTGTATTGTCGGGGGCTGCATGTCAGGGGCCGCCAGTGACCCAGGGGCCTTGCACTGAATAACTTTGCCTGAAGGCCTTGCTCTCTGCATAATGCCCATTTCCATCTGTCCAATTGTTTCTATCGGCACTGAAATTATTTAATCAAGACCCTGCTCCCCTTAACTTATCCACGTCCCTTTAACAAACAAAGCAACCCATGTCCTTCCAATTATATGGTAATGTGCATGCCATGATATTTATTGTGTAAATGCAAACTGCAATGCTTTGCAAAGTTACATCAATACAGATTTGGTATGAATAAACGTCTGTCTGGTATTTCCATTATAAAGCGATGTTATTCATAAACGATTGGAAGATATTGATAACATGTCAGTGCTTTATATTGTAAGCAAACACTCCTGTACTTTGCAAATGGATGTTCATCTGCCTTTTCCCTATAAAATGTGCCCAATGTTCTGTACAACACTAACATGCTATTACATTTAGATGCTATACAAACTCTAATGATGTTGTATTGTACTTGTTGATCTTCATGCATCGTATACATATCAGCTGAGCATGGTTGTTTTGTTAGATTCACTGGTATTGAGAAAGTTACGTGATGTGCCTACGATGTTTGCTGCAATGCCTACACAGAATATGCATACGAGGCTCTTGCGTCAATAAAAAAAAATGCCCTCCAATATAAGGTATTTTAACCTTGGGGTTTGCCAGAACACATCTGAACTATTCCGCTGAGAGTCAACAAGTAGAAGCATGTGCGTTCACCGCTGCCGCTTTGATGTAAACACAATTAAAATGTGTGCACAGTTGTGTTGAAAGGCGAAAACAATAGTAAATGCATCCCTTTTTGTAGTTTACATTTTTTATAATTATTACTGTTCCTTTGCTAGCAATTTTTTTATTATATATCAAAAAATTGATATTCTTTTTTAACAAAAAAATGTATTAAATTTTTATCCTGGTTTTTTTGCATTATTAAAAAAAAACAAAGGAACATTCATAATTACATTTCTATTTAGTAATTTTGTTGAATATTTTTTTAATACAAAAATTATTATAAAAAACTTTTTATTATAAAAAAAAAAGGAATTGTCAATTCAATGCTAGACGAAGACCAACCAATTTTGGTCACGGTGGTTGTTTGACCATACTTCAACCAGGGTTGCTTCAGGCATCACTTCTGACTTTAACCAACACTAAGGACTCAAACTCGGGTTGCTGGGTGCATAGTGGAGCATGCTCACCACGACAACCAAATGCAACCCCCCCCCACCCCGGACAATGCTTTGTTTAAACTCAACATTGATTTCACTGACAGTGTACGTCTTGGTGCTTTCGAGATAAGTGATAGTATTCAAGAAATATCACTCGCAACCTTTCCCAGGAGAGTATCAACACGTGCCAACGGAACGGCCCCGATAGACGACTGCTGAACCACCGCTTGGAGCCACTTCAATGAACTTCTTGCAAACGACTCCACCGTTGGTGCACGTCAACCATGCAATGTTTATATTCATCCTCACATGCTGGCCTAAAATTAAATTAAGAATCAAATAAATACCTCGGGCATGTTATGTTTATATGCGGGCAATGAGACCATCGACTCATCATTACGCATGAGAACCTAGTTTAATTGTGCTGGCTTAGATATGAAAATAGGATATTGCCAGTAAATAGCACCAACGAGCATTCCAATATATATCTTATCTTCTCTTCTATATATAAAAGGGAAATTTGTGATTATGTCTGTTCAAAATGTTTCGCGTACTTCCCGACATGCAACAAACTTGAAATTTGCCATGTGGGTACTTTCCAGACTGTACACCATGCAAAAATTATAAAAATACACTTTTGTATATTTTTTTTGGGGGGGCGAAATTTATTTAGATTCATATTTTGGATATATTTTGCACGGCAAGTGAGCTGTGACGTCACAACTGTCATGTGACCCGCGTGCGGAAGCGTAACGGAGTGTGCCTGCTGACCGCGGCTATAGTGAAATACAAACGTGTTGCAGGTCTAAGGCGTTTTTCGCGCAGCATTGCTGCTTTATTATTTCAGTCGTTTACTGCCGAACGAACCCTGAAAGTTGCGTGTGTCTGCAGCAAGCGCGTGTATGTGTACCTATGGACGCGCGCACGTGTGTTTGTGTGGGGAGCGGTGGTGTAGTGGTTAGCGTGCTGCGCTACGAACCCGGCGACCCGAGTTCGATTCCCGCTCACGGCCACCACCGGTGACGATTATTTGAACCGGTCCTGGGCCTCCCCTAGGTCGACTCAGCCTCAAACGAGTAACTGGTGTGGTGTGAATATCGCCACTGGGGAGACAAAGGCGGCCGGGCGTGGTGAATCAAAGTCCCGGGTAGTAAAGCTAGTATTAATATATAACTCACTACTGGGCGAATGCCTGTTGCCAAAGATCATCGGACAGATGTGATATACGCCACGTATTTCCCCCCAATTTCAAGTGGACTTCATTCATACTCGCAAAGCCACATTGCCTGTGTCCTCTGAGTTATTACTTCATCGCTATCTGTTAAAACATCGAGGCATGTCCAGACGCGAGACCTTTTACAAAATGACATTGGTCATATTTAAATTGGCGGGGAATACATTTTGGTGCAAGGATTCAATATATGGAGTTTCAGCTATCGTGCATGAAATCACGACCAGGCATCTGCAAGGCCAGGGAATTCAAAGTCGTTTCAAATTACTCATAGTTCAATTTGGCTTAAACCTGTACTTCCTGGCTGGAGGCAATAGTATTGGCCAACCTTTACCTAGACACAATGTGTAAGTAAAAGTCAAAGCGGAAAAACATTTCAAACTCATGAATCATAATAATTTGTCCATTGGCAGCCTCAAGTAAATGGTGGAAATTCCACATTTCTATGTTTGGGACGAGTTTATCCACAGGTCAAATACAGTTGACTTAGTACAACAATGTTGCACTTATTCTATCGACGTTGGAGAGAAGATCTATATTGACTCCCTGACCAGGATTTGATATGGCAACCTTCTGATTGAGTTGTGTTATTTACAGTGCCAGACAGCCAGTTAGCATCTAACAGCCTAGTAAAAAGATCAGCCTGACACGCTCAGCAGAAATACAATAAACTTTACTAATACTGAACAAAGATTACATAAATGTACGTGTGCAAATGTATATACAAGTTATGTTTGGAATAATGTAATGAATATTGTTTAATAACTATATATACTCTCCAGTGAATCTTTTGTAATGGTGCAGGAAATGATTTACTTGAACGCCATACATGTTGCCACAACACATACTACTTGCAGCCTGGAATTAAGTATAATAAGAATTTGCCAATGAAGTTCGCACAAGTGAATGATTGCAAGGAGATGCTTCGTTCTGAAATAACCCTTGCGATGTAAAAGACAAAACATATGATCAGGAATTATATTATTCATGGACAGCGAGTGGTCATGGTCATCAACTTAGTGCAATGACTATTCACTTTATATCTGTAAGAGTCCAATTTCTAGGCAATTAAGCTCAGTGACCACAGGGAGGCTTCAACATCAACTGCATGCAATTCATCCATCGTGTAATGAACATCACTTTACTGCATCACGTGGCTGCTGGTGTCTTGAAATCTATAACGAAAAAAAGCATCGGTTAATGAATGACTTCATACGGTGGTTTTAAACAGCGTGAAATAACAACTGCGTGCCAATTAAATATTCAACATAAAATAATGTAAAGTATAGCTAAGCACAGACGTAAAACTAAATTACGCCACGAAATGAATCATAAAATGTGTTGGTGCCGTGATAATCCATTTCTTATTTTTGCCAATTTATTTAAAGGACATTCAAGCGAGTTCAGAAAATGTTGCTGGCAATTACAAGCAAGCACTTTAAAAAAGTATCATCAACTAATGAAAACAAGCCAGGGCATTCATTGGCATGTTTATAAATAGTGCAAAAGGTTAATGTGAATCATCATCATTGGACCTCCTTTGCCAGTACCAAAATATGAGAACAGGTTTTCCCCTTTTTCTGGCAACAAAACAGGTGTTAAGATGTTAAAACACCAAACTGAAACCTTTTACAAGGAATCATGTCTGCATTAACCACAATACTTGTGGTCAGAATGCAAACAAAAAACGTACTCTGATAAAATATGCATTGTCTTAGAAACGGATTGGTCCACACCAGAGACAGCTTTCTTTTGAGCCTAGTCTCAAAACGGTGTTAGACCAAAGGACACCAATAGGCGTGTTAGACCAGAGGACACCAAAAGGCATATAGTTACACGATCTAACCCAAAAATGTCATTATTGTTGATTATTCATATACAAAATGAAACCAGACAAAATCGAAGTAATTTTGACTTTAAAAAAAGCATAACCCACATCATGTAGTAAAGTGGCAAAAACATTATTTCGTTAAAAACATTATTTTAAACTACAAGGACAATATTTCAGTACACACATTGTGCATATGAATTAATTGTTCTTAGTTTATCTTCTACACATCATCATGTACAGCGAAAGTGACACTATGTTTAACTTTTTTTATTTGATTAATATTTAAATGTGCATTTTGTAGTATGATTTTTTTTTATAAACGTGGTTATAAGTCGCTTTTTTACGTACCCAAAAAAATAAATAAGTAAACGTGTCTTCGTTCTTAACTATACAAGCTCCAGAGCATACTTTTATCAGAAAAATATGTCGCACAGGGAAATAAGACCAAGGTTTCCCACATGCAATGCACCAAACTCGCTGGCATGTCCACAACACTAGCGGCTGCCGCAGGCACAAGGCTTCTATTAACATGGGAGCAGAGCTGGGATGTGGCTTTGATGTGGGCACCCACCCTATTGGCTCCTTTAACGCCTCACAAGTACCCGGTCAACAAAGGATCTGAGCACTGCCAGAATGTAAGATAATTCGTTATGGACTGCTGCAAACAAATGCCATATATTCCCTTCCTTCCCTCCACATCAAAAGTATGGAGGTTACTTGTTTGTGTGTGTGTGTGTGCATTGGGCAAAACAACTTTACATAGTAAATTACGATGGTGACTTCGGAAATAAAGAACTGCCCAATTGATTCCAAATGTTTGGGATATATTTTAAACCAAAACTCTTGTTATAATGATACAATTTTTTCGAGAAACGTATGCAGAACTCGGCCACAGAAACGAATCAGCCATAAGCAGCTATTCCACCAAGGTTGCCTGCTGTTGGATGTTTAGAATACACAATATCGCAAATCGCCAGGAAAATTTCAATAACAGGTTACGAAGGTGTCACAAACATTTCTGAGCCTTTTATAAAAGGACATGCCAGAAACTGATATTCCATGCTGAGAATACTGAAACAGCTAATGCACAAATATTCCAGGTTGATGTGTTTCTTTTTTACACTTCATCTATTGCAGGTAGACCTTGATGGATGTTGAAAAATCTGAAAACCAAGCATCATACTATAATTGAATATTCATTGTTAGAGAGTACTAAACTTATGGAAATATATAAAATACATGTTGACAGAGTATAGAGACTATCCACCATCATATGTGACAATTAAGATGGGCTGCAGAATGTCATTGTCACACTTGAAGATGACCGCAGGTCAGGAATGACTGTGGTGATGGGGGGAAACATGAAGGCAGGGCAAGACCAGATTTTGGAAGGACCGCAGTGTTACAATTGCAGTCAGCTGACAACTTGGGCATTCGTGTGGCATAAGTGTAACCAATCTTGCATGATCAATTGGGAATGAACAATTTATGGGCATTTGGTGACCAAAACACTGACATGCAGCAATTAAGAGGGGACCCTCTGATAAATGCTCATGATCATCTTGATCTGAAAGCAGACTGGATCAAGTTAAGAGGCAATTTTTTACTTCAGATAAGCGCTGGATTTACTTATATGACCCAGAGTTTAAACAGACCATATCATGGAAAAATATACAGCTTTTTCAACACCCAACATATTCAAATCAGACTTCAATGCAGGCCAGACCATGTTCAGCACCATGTTTGGTTATGCTAAAGGAGTAGTACATAATTACTTAATGGAAAGAAAAAAAGACGATCATAGGTCAATGTTATGCATACTTATTTCATGCGTAAAAAAAAAGTGCCATGGCCTTGGAAAGATCATAGCCTCCCCACGCTTCTGCATAACAATGCTCAAGCACATACTTCAAGAGTGGTAAATGCCAATGCTGTCAATAAATGCCACTTTATGGAAATCCTGCGTCCTGCTAAAATCTGCAAAGCCGGCACACGGCAACTTTCACTTGGTTCCAAAGTTGAAGGAGCATCTGGGAAGAAAACATGTTGATGATGATGACCTATAGGCCGTGCAGGGGTCCCTGAATAGGCTGGATGAAGAGTAATTCTATAGGGAATCAATAAGCTCCAGGAACAATATGAAAAATGCATTGTTAAAAATGCAAGATGGTTTGAAATACATTTATTCCGATTGGTGTGTGCATTTTTATTTTGTATTAGGCTCAGAACTTTTTGTATCGTCCCTGTATTTTGAAGTTTGTAATTGTATTAAATACCACTTCTTAAAAAAAGACTAATTTAAAAGTACATAAATAATAGGAACGTGTTCAAGACTAGAGCAGAGATGCACTATGTGTTTATCATTGAATGATTTTCCATCGTTGGTTTGGGATTTCTCCCTTTGACTTGACCTTTTTTAAAGTTATAAAGACTATATACATTTATTATGATAAAGAGAGCTCTCAGATTACCTTTTCGTCTGCTGCTAAACTCAGTGGTTAGATCCGTTGATAAAAAAGCCAATCCCACAATATTACAATGGTATGCGAGATGAAATCTGGCCTGTGGAGTTGCACTGTATAACACACATTTATCTCCCAAGTAATATGAAATTGTACGAGTAATATTGAGGTTAATAATTAATATGAGCATATAAAATGATACGATAATAGGAACACCTACGTGCACTTTTGTGGTAATCTATTTATTATATAAAAGGTAAGCACTGGGAACTGGTACAAGTTGTAACTTGGTTGAGATCGAAAGGAAAAGGTTAACGTAAACATTTGTATTTTATCTCTTCACTATACTTTCGATTGATATTCTATGCACTGTGAGAAATCGGATGGCCAGTAAATGATTATGAATTAAATAGAATCTTCTTGGTTCTTTCAGTAAAGTCACGTAGAAAGGAAATAATAAAATAATAAAAATAAAACAATTAAATACAATTCTCACGACGTTTCGGCCACAACGCAAGCAGCCGTCCTCAGGTGAAGAACAGGTCTGTCGGAAAGACAGCGTCTGAATGAGCACCACCAGGCTTGGCAGCGTATATTTAAGCTGGGTTGGAGGGGGAAGGGCGCCTTGACAAAGGAATTTGCATATCAAGAGGAATTTAGCATATTTATGGAAAATGAAAATATGGGATTAGTCACTACTTGTGGAATGCCGAAAGAACCAAGAATATGAATCCCTGCAGTCACGAAAGCTTTAAATCGAAAAATTAAATAGAAACTTAGTTAGGCATGTTATTGCCAAAATTTGTCAATATAATGTATGGTATCGAGTTGTTTCATATTGACATAATTAAACCAATATGTCAAGACAATGTTGTGGAGTTTTCCCAGGATTGAGACACTTACTGTTATTGTGGCGAGCCTAGACACTTCAGCAAACACCCGCTGTAACCTCAGGGATGACTCTGGAAATTTTCATCAGGTTTGCCACTCTGTGCTTGTTTTCCACACTGAGTAGAAAAAAAAACAAAAAAATATGGTGTTACATATCAATACAAATTCAACATGCATAAGCAATTGAAGAAGCAATTAAACCAAAACTGCAGTCCTGTAATATTGCAAGTGAACATTTAAGTGGGACCCCACTTTATACTGTAGTATATAAAGGCTTAAAAAAAACTGCAGTTATAATCAAACTATGCTTCAGCATTACACGAGAAAACATTACGTAAAATTCCCTGGCATGCCCCCATGAAGCCACGTTGGAGCCATGTGTTAGAAGTTTGAGAATGTACTAGTGCCACCTCCTGGAAGATCTTTAACAGTGTATTGCCTGTGTACAGCATTACACTTAAGTGCTGTACAGAAAATATTCATGCCTATAAGCTTTAAAAGGCACAGCCATTAGTAATCACAATAACACCTGTATAATAAAAAAATACCCATCTTGTTAATGTTGCTCGTAAAAATCGTCTCCATTGACTATTTTCAATAAATATAATGATATATAACTTCCCATATAAATTATTTAATTAATTTTAAGCTTAACTCCGGACTGAGACTCAAGTCTATTTTCAAGATGGTCCTGTCAGGTTTTGTGCAGAAGGGGACGATATTGCTAAGTGTAATCTCAATTGACAAATGTTCAGCACTGGCATACGTATATTGCACTTGTTTCGCATCGTACGTAGCAGAGGTGGGACAAAGTCATTGTTATGCAAGTCCAAGTCGAGTCTGACGTCATCAAATTCATGACTCGAGTCTGACTCGAGTCCAAGTCACATGACTCGAGTCCACACCTCAGAGGTGGGACAAAGTCATTGTTATGCAAGTCCAAGTCGAGTCTGAAGTCATCAAATTCATGACTCGAGTCTGACTCGAGTCCAAGTCACATGACTCGAGTCCACACCTCAGAGGTGGGACAAAGTCATTGTTATGCAAGTCCAAGTCGAGTCTCAAGTCATCAAATTCATGACTCGAGTCTGACTCGAGTCCAAGTCACATGACTCGAGTCCACACCTCAGAGGTGGGACAAAGTCATTGTTATGCAAGTCCAAGTCGAGTCTCAAGTCATCAAATTCATGACTCGAGTCTGACTCGAGTCCAAGTCACATGACTCGAGTCCACACCTCAGAGGTGGGACAAAGTCATTGTTATGCAAGTCCAAGTCGAGTCTCAAGTCATCAAATTCATGACTCGAGTCTGACTCGAGTCCAAGTCACATGACTCGAGTCCACACCTCAGAGGTGGGACAAAGTCATTGTTATGCAAGTCCAAGTCGAGTCTCAAGTCATCAAATTCATGACTCGAGTCTGACTCGAGTCCAAGTCACATGACTCGAGTCCACACCTCAGAGGTGGGACAAAGTCATTGTTATGCAAGTCCAAGTCGAGTCTCAAGTCATCAAATTCATGACTCGAGTCTGACTCGAGTCCAAGTCACATGACTCGAGTCCACACCTCAGAGGTGGGACAAAGTCATTGTTATGCAAGTCCAAGTCGAGTCTCAAGTCATCAAATTCATGACTCGAGTCTGACTCGAGTCCAAGTCACATGACTCGAGTCCACACCTCAGAGGTGGGACAAAGTCATTGTTATGCAAGTCCAAGTCGAGTCTCAAGTCATCAAATTCATGACTCGAGTCTGACTCGAGTCCAAGTCACATGACTCGAGTCCACACCTCAGAGGTGGGACAAAGTCATTGTTATGCAAGTCCAAGTCGAGTCTCAAGTCATCAAATTCATGACTCGAGTCTGACTCGAGTCCAAGTCACATGACTCGAGTCCACACCTCAGAGGTGGGACAAAGTCATTGTTATGCAAGTCCAAGTCGAGTCTCAAGTCATCAAATTCATGACTCGAGTCTGACTCGAGTCCAAGTCACATGACTCGAGTCCACACCTCTGGTACGTAGTCAACCGTGCCAATCGGAGGTGTGGGGGGAAAGCACAACAAACTAAACACAAAAAGCAGTTCTAAAGAAACGAGTTTTCACAAATTCGTTTTTCGTTGAGCTATCATTTGTGGCCAGGTCACTTCTGTAACCTCCAAGGAATTCATAATTACAGCCTTAATATATACACATAATAGAATAACAAATTCACAATATATACAGTGGTGAAATGGGAAAATGAACAGTCAACGAACAGCATCTTTAATTGGTGGAGAGAAGAGTCTGTCTGCAGAAGCCATGGGCCTTTTGTCAAATGCACACTCTTGACATAATCCGCAACCTGTAAAACAAATACATGGCATAATGATATTTATTAAAATATAACATTAATACGCTGCTTCATGCACCATCAGTAATGATTGATCGACTGTTGCATAAATGCCTCCCAAAGCAATCACCCCATCTCTCACGGTCCCGTGATGTAATAATCACATCAGCCCACTAAAATTGTTGGTTGTTCAGATGTAATTATTTACGTCATGCCCCCTGTTAATATATGCAGGAATGCAATTCTTACTTTATCAACGTCCCCAAATGTAGACCAGTCATATTGTAAAACTTCACTTGTCAGGCTGAAAACAACAACAAAAAATCACATGATAAAACATTTATGTCAAAGTTCTAGAAATGGTTCACTGCTTTCCACTGACAATCACTTTGTTTATGGCTGAGAAGCTGACATTTTTTACTTCCTTATGCAAGTACTCGGCTTAAAATCAATATGACTATCATCTATGTTTATGCGCAGGTAAGGATCCCATTAAATATACACAGTACTGCAATACCACCAAAAACAATTGTCATTGCACCTACTTTTATCTAAACCTAGTTGTATGGCTTCCGTGTCAAACAGTGATACTTATACAAAAAAAACAGCCAATATAAAAAAATACACAAGCTCCAGGCCATTCAAACAGCTTTACAGTTAAAAATTCATTGGCTAAAACAAACGAGAAGCACTGTAAGGGTGTGCCTCACCTCATTTCTGGCAAAAACTTTGATTTGTAAACATCTTCAATGTCCTGCAAGTAACTGTCAGAAATGTTTTGTTCAAAAGGCTGAAATATAAAACACGAACAGAGAGTTTTGTTTAATGTATGACTCACCAAATATATGTTAAATATCACAAATGTACACCTCAAGTATCTGTGTTGTATTTCGATTTAAAGCTTTCGTGACTGCAGGGATTCATCTTCTTGGTTCTTTCGGTAAAGTCACGTAGAATGGAAATAATAAAATAATAAAAATAAAACATAATAAAATAATTCTCACGACGTTTCGGCCACAACACAAGCAGGCGTCCTCAGGTGAAGACCAGGTCTGTCGGGGAGACAGCGTCTGAATGAAACAGTACCATGTTTGGAGTGTGTTGTGCTCCCACAATGATCCCACTTACACGGCCACGCTGAATAAGCCGGTGCTGAATCTCAGGCACAGGAACATCCAGATACAGGACGATGTGAGGAGGGAGGATGGCCAATGTGCTGTTGGCCCTTGCCTCGTAGTAGTAATCCACAGCTAAACATAACAAAAACAAGCTAAACGTTACTTTCAAGGGCTAAAGCAAGCATACTCTTTGGTTCTTTCGGTAAAGTCACGCAGGTATAAAATTACATAAATTAAATCACGACGTTTCGATTGCAACACAAGCAGTCATCATCAGGTGGGAAAACCACAGCAAGAACATGTTTTGCTGAAGTGGGAGAGAGAGTTGCCGTGGTAAGAGGTTATATAGGTAAGAAAGGGGGAGGAGCAAGGGGGGAGAGGTGGGGGTGTGTGGTAGGGAGAGGGCGAGCACTGCGTGGTGTAGTAGTACCCGGCAGATATGAAAGACGACAAACAATACAAAGCAGTTAGGGTTTGACCTGGTTAAATCAAGATTTAATATTTACACATCTTTCATTTTTTTGCAGTAAACAGTGAAGAGTTGGTATGTGCAATTAAATATTAGGCCGAATTGCTCTTTGTTTATGGCCAAGGGAAGTAATAAATATGAAATGGTGGTTTTCTGTATGTGTCATCTGCTTACACCACTGAAAATTATCATTAGTACTATTCATAACTTTTGAATGAATTATCTTTGTACCTCAGCCCTTGCACGCCCCTGCCATTTAAATCACTCTATTTTGTTCCCACTTATTAAAAAATGTTAAGCACCTTAAGCAAAGGCCCCCTATACTGTAAATGTAAAACAAAATACGAACATTACTATAACATAATAATTACCATAACATCACTTGATTTTTCCTAAACAAGCCATAACGCGTTTCTAACTCGTCATCATTGTTTTCTATTCACCTACATTATATTTGAATAAAATGCCGTGAGAATAATTGAGTGTTACCAATAATCACTACTCAGTTTAACACGTAGGCTTTCGCGACCAATATTATTCATAATCAACGTTTTTGGGTTTAGATCGCGTTATTTATAAATGTGTCTGTAACCCTTCACCACCCGACACGGCCAATCAGTAAAAAAGTGTCACGTTGACAAAAGACAAATAGTTCACTGCTTTAGACCACCGGTGTGTTGAAGCGTGAAACCACAACATTTACAATTTTTGAGTACGACGTTTCGCTGGTAATTGCATCCAGCATCATCGGGCAATTCGCCGGAATGGTGAGGCTCTGCTCTGTCTCCCGTTCTTATATAGAGCAGCAGCAGAGTGACGTCATCATTAATGTTGTGGTTTCACGCTTCAACACACGGGTGGGCTAAAGCAGTGAACTATTTGTCTTTTGTCAACGTGACACTTTTTTACTGATTGGCCGTGTCAGGTGGTGGAGGGTTACGACACATTTATAAATAACGCAATCTAAACCCAAAAACGTTGATTATGAATCACTACTCACCATGTTTTTCCAAGAAACCGCTCTTGTGCATGGTGTCCACGAACACAAAATCACTGTAAAGAGACCGGTCCAGGATGACACCTTGCCCTGAAAAGAGGATACATGGATTTGGCATGAATGTGAAGAGAGCACAAGGGGCGATTTAAAAGAACTGACATAGGATATCAAGACGAGCCTATATTTGAAAAAACTACGCAACACAGTTTGACCTTGTGAAGTTCTGAAAACATTTGATGACTCCTTGTATCGCTGTGTTGAAAGTTCATAATGCACAATACAAAATGTAATTTGTACTGCAAAATGAGGCGCATGTGTTTCAGGGAAGTATAATGTAAAGTAAATCTACGAAGCTAAATTGTGAATTAAATACACATGATGCTTGGAAGTAAAATCATAAAATGAGGCAAACCAATTAATTAACCTCCTTTTGTCATAATAAAAAAAATTACAGGCCTGACATTTATAATGGGTCCCCTATATAAAATAATTTCAAGTAACATTAAGTATATAAAATAGTGCACTTGTATACACATTATATACAACAGCAGATGAGGCAACCACAATATATGTTATGGGAAAACGATGGCCATTAGGTGTTATGACAATGAAGCAAATCACCGAAAACATAAATATTTGACGATTTGTTTTTACTGAGAGCTCCTTTCGAGTCAAACCAGTAAAAAATATGAAAAAGGTATTCCCAATATTAACATTGCACATGTTTAGTGAAAGTTACATTCATGTGAAATATCCATACTGAGTTTGTTTATATGGAGCTGTTAACTTTATCCATAGCACTTTCACATATGACAATTGAGTCATGTACCCCTGCAGTAGAGCTAATGCAACCTAAAACAGCACTCTTAAGAATGGGAACATGACATTGTAAGGGGCTTTTGGAATGAGAAAAGGCAACTGAGGATATCTGGCCTGTCCCTTTATCAAGCACACGCTTCACCTATAGGTAGCATTTTATATTCTCACAAGACGTCCATGCACCTTTCCCCACCTTAAATGCCTTACCCATATCCCACGAGCATGTGATTTACTGCGAACACATACATATCGACAAATGATGCAGTGGTATTCCATTGGCACAAGGGCCGGTGGTTAATTGTAAGTTTTTACAACCGAAACAAAGAAAATGCTAAACTTAAAATGTAGGTTTCCGTAGCCAATAAAGCGATGTATATTTGGTTTTGGGTTAGGCCAAATAACAGTTTTTTTTTATGCCAACATTCTTCCGATTAACTTTCCAACACCCAACCAGATTGTCACCGTCACAATTATATTATTTATACGTGCCAATATATTGATAAAATTCTGACGAATAAAGGTCACCCCGTGGCTTAAACATTTTTAAGAAAACAAATCTAACTGCAAAAGGTAATAGTTTTATTTCGAAATATGACATGTGACACCTCACTAAACGGCTAAGCTGTATTTGTAAATAATACAGTATTCCTAAACTTTGAATCATAAAAATCAATATCTCAAGTTATGCTGACGTGATTACAGAGAACGACACATTGAACATGCAATGGGTTACCATTTCAGCGGAAGTAACTGGCGTGTCGTGATTTGTGTGAACGCGAGGACGTGAAACGACACGCTGACCTGTATTTAGCAGGTGCTCTAGAGCATCCGAGTACTGCAGGAGGCGTGTGTGGTACATCAGCAGCTGAAGCCGGACAGAGTTGCCATCGGGACTCTTTGGGTCTGCATAAAACTTTTCCAAGCTGCAGCTGCCTTTGAAAGGCGGTGGGGGAAGGGCCCTTTCTTTGCTCTTCTTCTCCCAGTATGGCACACTTGCTTCCTCAAAGTAGAGCAGGCCTGATGAAATTAACATTGCATAGTATGAATAAATCAACATGTAACATTATATGCTGATGTATTCAATCACACTTTCCTAATGTGTAATAAATAGCAGATGTTAATGTTATAATTTCAATTGCAGTATAAAGTTTGATGTAATTATGAGGATACCTTTTAAATTATTCCTCATTTATGTGAAAGCACATTTGCAACTTCTATGTGCAAGCATTCTAAGTGGGTTCTTACAAATATACAGAATAAGTCTTATTTTTTTAAATCACACACATGTTATGTTATGGAGCACATTACCCATTTTCTCTGCTAACTTTCTGCCAAGTGTTGTTTTGCCTGCTGCTAGATTTCCATCTAAGACGATAATTTTACTTGATACAGATAACTTCTTTGTGATACCATCAAGCCTTTCCGTGTGCATCATGCAGCAATTAAGAGAATGTATCTGTAAAGCTGGTAATGTTCTTATCTGCAAAAGAAAAAAAACATCTTCAGGCATGATAGGACAAAGTCAATACTGTAAGAACGCAACTTTAATATACTCTGCCACTGAACAAAAACGACTTTTTACATTTGGATATTGAGCTTTTTCTAATTCAAAACTTTTGATAACACTTGTTTTGGCTTACTTCCCCAGATATGTTATGGCTCGTACCACCGTATTTCATTTGTAATTCCCCGTTGTTTAAATGGATTTAAATAAGAAATTCCTCTTACGAACCCTGATCACCAACCCTGATCCATAATATATTTATGGGTCAGATCGCGTGAGGAAATTGTGTGTCGTAAACCCTACTTCACAGACACAGCCAATGAATAAAATTGTCACGTGAACGTGCCAATGTATTCCTGCTTCAGTTCACCAGTGTGAATTAATCAACCGTGTCGGGTGGAGGATACACAATTTACTTACACGATCTTACATCTTACCCAAAAAATATTCATCAAATTGGCTGTGAAAGTCTACGTGTTAAATCACAGATCCCCTTACTACTGTATTCTCAGGATTATTCGTCATATTACTCCATTTATCTGCAATGAAATCACAAGATAATCGTATTTAATTATGAATTTGCCAATAGACTTAACTGATATAGAAATAATAATTCAGAAAGGGAATCTATTCCATAATGCATGGATAATCGTGAACAGGAAGAATGGGAGTTGGATAAAATATGTTGTGGACCCCTACAGGTCCCTCTATAGGAGTCACGGGTAACAGGGCCGTGGATAAAATTTGTCCTGTCTCAATAATAGTGAAACACATCCGTAATACGTGTATCGAGAAACAGAGCTCAGTGCATTCTCCACGTTTCAACAAATGAATTTGCAAGTAAAACCATTCTCTTGGGATCATAATTTCATATCTACATAGTTACATAAAGGCATTATGTAAGAGCTTCAGAAACATTACCAATGTTCAAAAGCACACATTTGACAGTCCCCTTCTCTTGCAAGTGGCATGCAGTGATACATTTTCACGTGTCAACAGTTCATCTCGCCTTAAACACATTCAACTCAACTTACGTTTGCCAGAGGGCGTCAGTGTGACTTATCTGTGGATGTGCACGACTCTTCCTGTCCTCACCTTCTCATTGATCTCATCTCTTCTATCACCAACTCATATGCTATGATTGGTGGTGACATATTGAGTTCATACACACCGTGATTTGGCCACAAGAGGGCACTGCAACAACTGTTTAAATTATGAAAACTTGCAATCAAACATCAGCCTGGTATTTAGTCTAAGAGTAGTTCTAGGGTTAAGCATGAGTAGGGTTAGGGTGAAGGATTTATTCATGCCAGTGTTAGATTCGGTAATAGATCATGTTAGATTGAGGTTTTTGATGTTAAGGCTAATGTTGCATAACTGTCAACCACTTATCAGCGCCTACCATATTACAGACCAATTCAGCCCTTATTGGTCACCCCATGCCCTTATAACTCTCAACGTTCATCCTACAAAGTCCCATCACAAGGGAGAAACACAAACAAATGTTTTAAAATGCCTGTATTGAAACGGCTGTATGCCGTATGGACCTGAAAACTCAATTCCCCTGAGTTACAAGAACACGGGTAAACCGTATGGGTTGGCAGGTACGATGTTGGGATTTAAAGGGTGGATAATGATGTTGGGATTTAAAGGGTGGATAATACATCATCTCCCTAGTCTCTCGGCAGATCTCAGCTCGTGGTGGAAATTCCACAATTTCGCATAGGATGACCCCGCCTACGAAGTGGGTTAAAGGGCGGTCCATAAATGATGTCACCCCCCCCCCCTTGGTTACACGGCGTCACAAAAAGTCAGACCCCCCCCCCAAAAAACAATTTAAACATGCTTCAAATCGCTTTAAACTATTGTCATTGTAGTGCGTATTTAATGTGGCGCTGCACTCTGATGTTGTAGGAGAAAACATTTATTAAAAAGTCTATTTAATTAAATAGAACGTATTTCTATATTTATTTAAAGTGGCGCATTTTGATGAGACGTCACATTTCTCACCCCCCCCCCCTCGTCACAAATGTCTGACCCTCCCCCACCCCCCCTAGGTGCGTGACGTCATTTATGACCGGCTCCTAACCCGATGAAGAAGCGTGTGATGAGTGCGACCGCAAAATACCAACTCCGCGGGCCAATTCCGACGTTCGTCCAAAATAATCGAAATAGCGGAGACACACTCTGTCACGTCCAATTGTCCAGCGGTTACAGACCTCTCTTTTGATGGCACGACGACGGCTCTCGTTCATCTCTCTGCACTCGTGTTACCAATTGCAATCTACTACCATAGACATCTAGAAGACATATGTTCTATTACTGGTAGGAACCACCTGGTTCCACCAGCCCACAGGGGATTATTGTGTCCGTCCGTCGTGCATCCAAAAATGGGAGGGGTGGGGCTGGGTGGGGCTGGGTGGAGAGGGGAGAGTGGGGAGGGGCTGGGTGGGGGGTGGGAGGGGTGGGGCTGGGTGGGGGATGGGAGGGGCTGGGTGGGGCTAGGTGGGGAGGGGCTGGGTGGGGAGGGTGGGGCTGGGTAGGGGGTGGGAGGGGTGGGGCTGGGTGGGGGGTGGGGCTGGGTGGGGGGTGGGAGGGGTGGGGCTGGGTGGGGGGTGGGAGGGTGGGGAGGGGCTGGGTGGGGAGGAGCTGGTCACCCCGTGGTGCCCTTATAAAACTCAACGTTTAACCTACTCACGCCGGCTTGTGCCCGCCCTCACAGTCGGCCATATTTGCGGAATACACCACGCCGCCGTTGACCCTGGCCATTGACCGAGCAACCCAACGTTCCTACCAGCTCCCTCCGCAGGAATGTGTTGCTAATTTCAAAGCTGAACTAATGCCATTTCTAGCATCATTCACACGCATCCGTCTCTACATATCAGAAGCACGTTGTTCAGCTGATTTGTTAAAAGTCCCACTCTTTGACCCGTGCAGTCTCATGAATATCACCAAAAGTTGTCTTGACACTTAAAACCGACTTCTCTTGAGTGGTTAATGTTTCACACCAAAACACAATGCACCACCACAGCATTACGCAAGCACTGTATTATGAGTATTAATACACTTTAAACACAATACGTGTAAGACCGCACAACCATTGGCATTAAGGTATAGCAATTAATTTATATTCCAACACTCTTACGAATAACGCTGACAGTTTAACATTTTATATGTTCTCCCACATATCATTAACGACTGAACACACACACACCAGATTTAAAACTAATTTATTATATAACCGATTTGACTGTTTAGTTTGTTGTCCTTCCACCTCCGTTGGCTACGTACGGTGCGAAAGAAGTTCAACACAAAGACAAATCTGTTAGCGAGTACCAACAGTAACCACACCCGACCGCCTTTGTCTCCCCGAGTGGCGACGTTTACTCCACACCTACAGCACCGGGTACTCATCTGAGGCCGAGTCGACCTAGGGGAGGAGGCCCAGGACCGGTTCCGATAAATCGGCGGGCGGTGAGCGGGATTCGAACTCGTAGCGCGCTAACCGCTGCACCACCGCTCCCCCCAGCAAGCAGCACACGCGCACGTGCGCACGTGCGCGCGGCCTGTTCGGCTGCTACGAGCCCCCCGACGTCGCCTGGATGTCTCCCGCCGCGCGAGGGCCGCCTCCCCGCCCGCCTCGGGGTGGCATAGAGGCTGCCGCCGGCGCAGTTTTTTTATTTTAACATTTTTGTTGTTTTATATTCTCACCACAGACAACGCGGGGACGAATCGCCGGCGCGTTGCGCGGCCGCCTCCCAAAGGCACGCAACGTCGCAGCGACGCAACGAGCGGACGCGACATATTCATTGCGCGTTTATATTCAATGCCGCTTTGTTTTTGTCAAATGTAACTGACGGCCACGGCCTGTTTATTTGTGTGTATACGACTCTGTGCCGACGTCCCTCTAGCGTTCGATGTATCATGCCACAGCAGAGGATTTGCCTCTCGGCTTTAAAGGGATTTTCATGGTGGTATTTAGTAGGGTATTTCTCCCCCCCTCCCCCACCTTTGAAGAGTTATTAAGCATTAAACATTGGTTAATCCACTGCTCGATGAACCCCTTCCCGGCTTAGTCCGCATAATCCCTCACGCTCCTGCGATGTCATTGAAAATATATTACTATTTGAAGGCATTTCACAGTGTAGCATTGTTTTCCTAAATGAACGGACGTTATCAACCCATGAGAAATTGGCTTTTAAATAACTCAAGAAAATGTGTTTTTTTAAGCCCTGATGAGCGTAAAGGTTTTGAAGATTTCGAGCATATATTTTTTTCTTGAAACTAAGCGTTCGATCTTATCATTCGTAAAGAAAAACTGAAGTTTTAGAGAATTATATTTCTCCTCGGTATTGGCACTGGCAAAACGGTTAAGATGTCAATAGGGGGCAATGTAAACCCATGCATTAAACAAATAGATGCACATGTCTCTTCGTCATTGCAAAACAAACCCTGATCATCAAAATGGTCAACACTCAAATGTAATCTTAAGTTGACATTCCAAAATATGTCGAACAATGGTTTGCGATATTCCATGAAAAATATACAAAGGCACAGGGTCAACCCTCAGAATATTCACATTCAAACTGCATGATATACACATGTCAACAGTGTTTGCAGAGAGATCAGTGTTTTCATCAAAAAGCTGAAAACAATATTCGGCTTATTTTTCAGTGTGAAACACAACAGTGAAATGAAAACATCGAATGTTATCATAAAGGTTAACATCGACGTCAATACATCGATAAATCGGAACCAAAAACGATGTTACCAATGTATCTTTGTTTTTTTGCCCATCCCCAAACACAAATTATATTTTGGGTGCTGGCATCTTCAACAGTAATATATTCTAGTACATTTGGGCAGAGTATATGTGATATATTTTATAGGGACATTTTTGCTTGTAATTCCAGATTGTTTTTTGTTGATGCTGACTCGTATTGCAGGTACCAGTACTAGAATGTAGTACATGTTGGTCATAGGTGAGGAACTTAATAGCGCGCAATTTTACAGGGTGTTCTTTGCGATAGTGCTCTTGCTAGCACGCAATAGGATACCTTATTGTAGGATCCATGCATTTTTTTTACACCGGGGCACATGACCAGATGAGTAAGGGCTGATAGAAACCTTGATGTAACTCGCATGACCTACGATGTGAGGTAGAAGTTTCTTATTTCTAGATTTGAAGCTTTCGTGACTGCAAGGATTCATACTCTTAGTTTTTTCGGTAAAGTCACGTAGGTAAAAAATTAAATTTAAATTAATAATAATAATTATTTAATTTTTATTTCATTTTTTAGCTCTGTGACTTTACCGAAAAAACTAAGAGTATGAAGTTTCTTATCTCACAATGGCAGCAACACACACGGCAGCTTCTGCTCATATGGGAAGGGTCCTCAAGATTCTAGCAATCATGTCGCGATTGATCTACTTCTTGCTCATCAAATGCTGTGTGCGTGCAAGGACATGTAACTGCGTGTGGGAAAGTGTTTGTGTTCAAGTGACTTGAGTGGCAATTGGCCATGACTTGTGAGAGGCAGCATTTGACAACAGTGAATCAGCCGTGAATTCTGACGTTCAAGTACTTGAAGCTTTATTGTTGCATACAATAGATGTGGATTTGAAACGTACATTAGTTTGCATGTCAAATAGGCAAATTGTTCCATCCACCCAGCTAACTGCATTGTATATTTTTTATATGTCAGTTCAAGCCCCAGACAATATTTATCCTGTGTATCATGTTGTGATGATAATCCTCAGCAGCAGTGTTCTGTCCTATGTCATGCCAATGGTATGCTGCTCTCATTATAAAATTGCATTTTAAAGAAAATATCAAACCAGTTCTCCATTGCCAATTTCTGTAATTTTGATCCTGTTCACCTTAAATAAATGCCCTAGATCTACAAACCCCTTTCTGTATAATTTTGTATTCATATTACGAGTATTTCCTTTTCTTAAGTGAACACGTTGTTGTTCAGTGCACCCCTATTACTTTCATTAAAGTCCAACATTTCAGGACTTATGGAGTTAGCATCATTGTAGGCTATGTTTATTTTTGATGATGTGTAGAAACAGGGTGAATACTCACAGAAGAAAATACCAATTACAACATTTTCTTAAAGGAGGTAAGGAATATTCTTGAATTTAATTATCCCCAACAGTCTGTTAGGCTATAATGGGGATCTTTGTGGTGGCAATTTTCACACATATCTAAGTTAACACAAGCAGGGGAAGGGGACACTCGATCCTCAGTCATGCTGGCGTTAGTTGGCTCAAATCAACCCAGTTCTGGCACCACTGTGGTAGCAATCATCCACCAAGGACCCCACTCAACCCCACAAAGGCCGGGTCTCGTCTAGCTGATGAAGGTTGCAAGCTGGAATGTCATCATCGCTTGCAACTGGGGTTGGCATCGTGACCCCCCCCCTCCTCCTGACACCTAGGGGAAATGGGTGACAGCGACTCATGCAGATGCTATGGCTGCTTGGTTACACAGTCCACACTTCCTCAGAAACCATGGCGAATGAAGGAGGTGTTCCGGCTAGTTATAGTTAAAAGTAAGCCACACGCCCACTCCCGCCGGATACAACATTCCACGTTTAAGAACAAGGAGGCTTACCGCAGCCTTCGCTCGGAGGTTCGGGGAACCTGCGATAACAAATACCTTTTTAACACCATGAAAACAGTAACTAGCAGCATCACACCTATCGCCATCCTAAAGGGGAAGAATGGTGATGTCATATCCGGCTCCCAAGAATAGGTTTGCAGCTTTGCTGA